ACGACCCCTACAGGACGAAGGAAGATATCGACGCTTGCTCAGGTCTGCATGTATGTGAATAATTCGTGGGAAAAAGTAAGAAGTGATATAGTTAATAAGTCATTTAAGAAATCTGGTATTAGTGACGCAATGGATGGGACCGAGGATGATATTCTCATTGATCATAATATTGGATCCAATGATTCCTTTCCAAGTGACAGTGAAAGCAATGAAGATTTTGTAGGTTTTGAACCAAACTAAATAACAGTAAACCTTTTTTTGATTTACGGTATTTTCTTATTTTGATGGTTTGAGCTCTTTTTGTGTTTAGAACAATATATACTAATTTTTAAAATATCAAATTGAATTTTTGTTCAATAAAAATCTTTCAAATGTGACTGAAGCTTTTTTTCCCCAAAACTTTCTCTTTTATATGATTTTGTATGCGGCACCTGGACGTGAATAGTGGACTATCGGTCCACAGTACGGCAGGTTAAAAACTAGGTCACAACCAGTCTCAAAGGTTACGATCAATGAAAAGTAGGGAAATATGCTCATATAAGTAATTATTAACAACGATAATGCACATAAGAAAAGACCTGGTGATCTCATAACTTACATGAAAAGAGTATCAAGTTGTCCTAGTTTTATTTTTGTGTATATATATATATATTTGTTATGTTTCTTTCCTCATGACATTAAAAGCTATAAAGATGATTCAGTGAAAATGAAACATACAAGACAATTTAGAAGTTTTGTTAAGCTTTCGAATTAACTGACTAATGAAACAGTAGATAAAATAAAATGATAAAAATATGGAATTAATAGAATGCTACACTATTTAACTTACCTTTGACTAAATTTGTAATTTGGTTACATTTTTTTCTTGTCTCTAATTTTCACTCTGATTTTTAATAATTAGAAAATTTACTGTCCTTTTAGGGTTTATGGTAATACATGGATATATTATATCGTTGCATAGAATTAGTTTATGTATGTAGTATTTATTATTTACAAACGTAACGTTCAAATTTACTTATTACTCTTTTTTACTAGTTTATAGATAAGCTAAACCGTGATAGCGAAAGCTTTTATTTTTATGTTTATTCTGAGTGACTTCAAGTTTCATTGATCTGCACGTGCAGTGAAGTAACTAAAAATACGATTTTAACAAGAATATTTCTGACAACGGATGTCTGTTTCACAAAAACTTGGTCACGAGTTTACTTACAGGCATGACACTGCTTGATCTTCATCGAGATACAAGCTCGCGAAGGGCAAGTGTTCATTTGACATCTGGGCCAGTTTTGCTTCTTTCTATACGGTCATCAGCCTCAAGTGCTCAGCACTTCATAAGATTCTTATCATAGCTAATACGGTATAGGTAAGCTCACTTTTGTTGTGCCAAAATATTACCGTACGTAAAGTAAAATTACCTTCATGATAAATTTAAACTACCTTAAAAAAAGGAAGGTTTTCGAAACTTAATAGGCAGCTGTGCCTAAGAAATCCTACGTATATATGTATACACTCTAAGCATTTTGGTTTTAGTGATAACTAGTATATGATAAACATAGTTTTACCATTACATTAATTATAACTAACGCTAGAAAACTATTCATTGGTGTCAACGTTTTTGTACTTCACTTTCATAATTTTTTTTAGTCTTACTCTTGTTATACTAGTGGAATTTTCTGATATGCAGAAAAAGGGTAAAAACATACCGAAGGTGAAATACTGAAACATTGATGTCAGAAGATATATATATTTAATAGACGCTGAAATTATATAGATTTTCAATCTTGGATAGTGGCGTAACATAAAAATATTAAAAAGGATAAATGTTAACATTTCGTAGGAAAATTATACACAAAAAGAATATATATTTAAGACTGTTAACTAAGATCTAATAAGAGAGCGTGATAAGGAGAAGCAATAAGTAATATGATGATTATGTAATTTCAGTTGTATATTGAAAGGATTTGCAAACCACGATGTCTGTTGTAATGATATTTTAACACGTTTACCACGTTTGTTAAAAATATTAAAAAATACTTAACTCTAAATAAAAAGTAAAAATGCGGAAATATTGGTATCATAAAGCAAAGTTACTGTAGCTAAATCATTAGTGAAATACTATGACGAGCGTTAATATTCGAATATTTTTCTTTCATTTTGCTTAACCTTGTCTGATGTGACACAATTCTGTTTACACAGGCATGTGACAATAGAGGTTTAAATTATATATATATGTTAAAGATTTATTTTCTTTTTCATCAAAGATGAAATTGAAAAGAGAATCTGTGACGTAAATGCCTAATACATACCTTGATTGGCCTTACTCTCTGCTGTGGATTGGAGTTTCACCTATTCAAGGCTCATCAGCAAGACTTGAATCAGTAAACCAAACAAATATCATTAGGACTCTTGTAATAATGAAGTGTCTATAATATCTATGTGGTTTTGTGTTCGTTTTACTTCACCTTATAGTGACCTAAATTAAACTAGGTATGTGAATAATGTTACGACATTTCGTCGAATTCATTAATCGATATTATATATATATTGTTAAAGATTTCTTCTTTTTTCACCACAGGCGAATCTGCAGTCCACAGCAGAGGGTACAGCCAATCAAGGAATGCATTGGGCTTCTACGGCACAGATTCTCTTTTCAATTTCATTTCTGGTGAAAAAGAAAAGAAACATTTAACATGTATATATATATATATATACAATCATTAAACAGTTTGTTCGCTGCATAATATCGAATAATTAATTCGACGAAATGTAACATTCTTCACATACCTAATTTAATTTAGGTCACTATAAGGTGAAGTAAAACGGACACAAAACACCATGGGGATTTAAATTAAAGTACGTCAATTATTAAAATTCAAACGTATATGTTTTTTGTCACACCCTAAAAATTAAAAACTGGAAGTCAGTGTTGTTTCTCGTGAAATATTTGTTCTTGTTTTGGTATTTGTCTTTTAATTCTTGAAAAAAAAAATATTTTATGAGCAAACTTAATTTACTCTTTAATTTTATTTGGGGTTGAATGTTAATAGTCGTTATTCCCATACCCTAGAGAGATGGCGCACACACAAGTAACCAGAAGAACATGTTCTTGTCTGGAGGAAGGTAAGGTGTGTAAGTGTGGAATAGAAGGTTCTTCCAGAAGACTACAGGTAAGGATGGAGCCTTGGGCCAAATACAAGACTGTGTCTATGGTGACTCTTCTTATTTTGGGACTCGTCTGGGCCGTGTTATTTGCATCTTTACTTTATTTTAAAAAACTGTGAGCTCCAGTGCAAGATGATCACGACACCATTCCACAATAACTTCCGGTCCAGCACTATTTGACGTCATTCGTCTTCCTGTCGGTGATTAGTTAACTCTGAAAAGACATACTGTTGCTAGGGTATGCCGATGAGGTTATTTTTGATATAACTGTGCAAAAATATGTTTTTGAAAATGGATGTTATTTCCTTTAAAGACTGTATTCGTCAACACTTCAGTAAAATGCCCAGTCATCCAGAGTTCTATAATAGATGTCTTTTACTAACTATTACTAACTTTTTTTATTCTAGTCTTTTGGTGTATTCTTTGGTGTTAATTTTATTTTATGTATTTTTGTTCAAATGTACATAAGTCAATAAATGGACTGACTGTTTTGTAACTTTAGTAACTCTGGTCTATTCACTAACAAGGTTTTGTACAGATTTATTGATAATTAAAAGAGATTGTCGTCGTTGTATAAATTAGCCGTTAACCCCTCATTTATAAAACACGGTGAAATTTAGTTAAAATTAATTAAAAATTATATTTTGGTTGTACTAATATCTCAATATAACCTCGTTCATCATTTGTGTATGTACACATATATATATACACACACACACACACACACATATATATATGTGTAACAAAACTTCAACTCTTCTGTTATTTTCTTCATTATACCAATATTAACAATTTTCAAAAAATACTGAGACTGATTATATAAATATTTTGAAACTATTATCATACATTTTCAAAATCACATGTCTCGTATATAATCTCTTTCTTCCTCCATGCCTCATATCCTTTATCCTACTAAAATGTCTCTATGCAAATGTTTTATTTTCCTGCCCTTGTACATTATGATAACTTTGAACAAATTTATCTCCTCTAGCAGCCTCCTATGTGTTTTGGTTGTGTTTATATATATATATTTGTAAATTTATAAATTAAGTAAAGTTTATCATATATCTAATGTAAAGCTAAACATTATCTAAAAACAGATACGTTAATATTTCCATCAATAGTAAGGACTGCGTTAAAAACAGCAAAACCAAACCTATGATGAAATAGAACATATATATATATATATGTGTATAATATTCATATTCATAAGCATGGGATGAGATAACAAACACTTTATTATTGTCAGTAACTCATTAGGCCAGAGTATGAGCATTGCTCTTTATCTAAAATATGATTTCAGCAACTGAGAACATAAATTACACGTTTTTTGTAATTTATGACTAAAACAAAACAAGTTGACTATAACCTTATAAACCATCATTCACTAAATGTATATCGATAAGTTCCCAGTATTTTATTTGAACATGTATACTGACCTTTACGAACAGCTGTACTTTCAGCAATGTATATTTTTTATTATTTATTCAAAACATTTTTTTAAACATAAATATATAACTTATGTGAAACTAGAAGGCGCTGCTAGCTTCGGTTCTACTGGTTTTCCTGATCGTGTAAAAGTAGTGATGTGTTTGTATTCGTGATCAGAAGCATAAGTTTCTTGTGTGTTTGTGTTAGGAAAGTTAAATAACACAGTACCGAGAGTCTTCGTTTTATAATGACTCTTACTGATGAATAAAAACAATCACAGCATAAGATAAAAATATATGTATTTTTTTTTTTATTTAACATAAGAACAAGGTATACACGAGAAAAATATATAAAATGTTTTTACTTGAGAAAAAAATCAAGGAATAAATGAACTATTTATAAAATGCATATTGTGATATTTTTCATGAGCTACGTACTAAAAATATCGCACGTTACTAGAAATTAATAATGTTTGAAATTCGTTTAATAGAAAAATTCAGCCACAATTATAGCATAAATGGAAGGTCCATAATGGGCTCACCACTTCCGATGTAAAGTTGACCATAATAAGAGGTGGCAGGGATGTGGTAGAACGTCATACCTGGCCACCACCAGTTTCGTAATACTATGGTATTAAATTCTTCAACCTGTACGCTCCAACATCCTGATAAATATCATGAATCATATTTATTTAGGCAGAGCAATTTTCTTACACTCTTATTTAAAATACAGTGGTAATTAGGGAATGAAGTACATTTTGTAAGAAAAGGGGATATGCCTTGGATCTGGACAATACTTGAAAACAAAAAAAGTAGAAAGTAGCGCGGCACTGAGGTTATTGTGGTGGACTGTAAAACCGAGGATTCCGGATTTGTGACCCTTTACCGTCCTCCCAACAAAAAATTCACTCTCCGCATCTTGGGGCCATGAGTGCGTTATAAGAGTGACAGTAAAGTCCCGCTATCCGATTAGAGTAGCCCACGAGTTGACAATGGATGATGTTGACTAGCCGCCTTCCCTCTAGTCTGTCAATTTATAATTAGGGATGTCTGGCGCAGAAAGCACATATGTAGCTTTGCGCGAAATTTGACA